GAATCCGAGGCAGTGGTTGGTCCATGCCCGTTTTTTTTTTTTTTTTAACTGCGCCATCCAGGATTAGCTTTACAGCCAGGTGTCGCAAACCAGCTCTAAGACTGACACTTAAGAATTACTCCTACATTTCACTCAAAGTAAGACTGAGACGCTTGATAACTGACTTTTACTCTCAGCTTTTAACTAAGATTTTTTACACTTAAGTCCACTCTTAGCAGCATTCTTAAGAGTAATTCTAAGAAGTTTTATAAACACGGGCCCATACTTAACACTCTTGCTTGAAGATTTTCCATTAAAATACCAGAAAGGATTGGATGTTTCTGTTAATAAATCAGGGTAGATTTTCTAAATGATTCACAGCCCTGAATGTACTTTGGCAAGCTGCTGAGGCCTCAGAGTGACAGACAGTTTGAACAACATGCCTAATCTAATCCRCTCTTTCTTCGCTGTTCATTACAGTACTCGTCTTGATCTGTGTCACTCCCTCTGGCTCCCCAAACTCCATCACTGTCTTTGTCACTTTCTCTCCTCATGCGCAAACGCTGTCCCGGACAGAGAGTGATTAAGTGTGACCCGCTGCAGTCTGCATGTGTGCAACAAAATCCTACCTCTATGTCCCACGTWATGATTGTTCCCTTTTTATCGGCTGTTGCTAAATATTTCCCACAGGGACTGACGGCCATGACAATAGATCCCAAATTCATTTGGTGTGCTGTGAACCGTCCCACCAGGTGTCCGTGGTGGACGTTCCAGAGCTGGACAGCACCCAAACCACCGCAGGACACCAAATCTGCACCACCTAAAAAAATTAATCCACAAATAGTTAAAGCCACAGTTCAGATCATTTGAAGTCGGGGTGTGTGAAAAAGTTGTGAATACTTTGTTACTTGCTATAGATAGTTCTTTAAATTATTTCATTTGGGGAAAATGGAAGTTTAACTGTCATCTGAAGAATTTACAAATAATCTGAATGAGGCCAAGATCAAACTGCTGCAAAGAACAAATTCACTCGAAAATATTCCTTTAACATCTGGGATGATGTAGAGTTTGAAAGTATTTTATTAAACTATAAAACAACGTTGCTGGTTAAATCCTATCTGGCTTTATTAAGATACCATTTTGTGGTCAGTTCGCATAAAAGGTTGAAAATAAAAACAAAACTAAGACTGAGAAAATGCAGTTGATTTATTTTATTATTTTCAATGTCTTACCTTTAGCTGAGGTGCGTTCAGGTATGAAAAGCAGTCTGGTGATGACAGTGGAGCTCTCTGTTGAATTTAAGAGCCAAGGCGTGCGCCACAATGTGCCAGTTGAGCCAAACATTGAAAGAAAAGACAAAAAAAAAGATTGCGAGGAAAAAGATGAACACAGAAAAACAAGTAGTTTACACTCTTCTGTTCGTAAAGACAAGGAGCCAATTTCACCTGATAATTGTAGAGCACTGAATATATTTGCATTTGTCAGCGTGAGAGACATCACTGCTTTCCTAACCTTGTCGCTGCAGTGTTTTCACAGCCTTTTCTGTGCTGCTGTTCCACACGATGATCTCTCCATCATCACTTCCTACACACAGCAGAGACAAAGGGCTACAAAATATTAGAAACTAGAGACAAATAATGTTGCACAATTAAAGCAAAATGGTTTCTATTTACTTTCTCTCTCCTCTTTGACGGTGACTCAGCAGATATGTAGACAAAGCACTTTTTTGTCAGCCTAACACCATCATGTTTAGGATTCATGCACAACAACCACTAAAACCACTTTAAGCCCTTAACATCTGTCCCCAGCTGCCATCTGTTTCACCGTTCAACTCAACTCTTATATTCACCTCACACAAAAACGATTTACATTACGACTATGTGAACTAGCATACCCTGCATGTTTGTGCATGTTAATAAAAGACGACTCTCATGTGAAGTTTTGATGCCAACATTAGGAGGTAAAGAATGTGTGAAGAGTGTTTCAGCTGTTGGAGCGGAGTATGTGCGAATAAAAAAAAGTGTAAAGTTTATGAAAGTGTGGGTCGCTTGTATTATTCATGCAGTTCAGTGCCGGCGTCTGTATTTCAAGTGACTTTTATCATGTAGTTTGTGTACGAGGCTGGACAGAGTGTACTTGTCTGCATCCTCTTTGCAAGCTTAACCTTTGAGATGCAATTGGCTTAATTTCCCTTATTAAGTTGCAGGAGTGCCTTGATGCACTGAGCATGGGCAATTTTGACAGCGCATACAGTACACAGAACAAACCACGGTGCAGAATACTAATGATGCTGAACAGAAGTGCACTGCATTCATGAAAGTGTTTGCATTTTTAAGGGTTAAAGATTAATTTGATACAAACTTGTTTTTTGCTTTGTTTCTTCACCATCTTCATATCAAAATTTGGGGCCAGGAGCATGAAAGTGTGTGCTTCTGGAATAAATCTAGCTTAAATGTGCATTTGTGTTACTTTCAGACTTGTGCCCTTTTGCTAATCTAAATCATAAAGAAATCATACACACATGTGTGGACCTATTTTCCTCCTTGACCATGAAAATGTGTGGATTACCCCATTAAATTTTCAGAGGCTGCACCCTTTGCGGCATCGTTGTTCATACATCGCAATGAAAGCAGCAGCAATGAAGTTTTGCAGTTTTACATAATGTGAAAATGAAGCATTGTAGCAATGAAAAAGGAAAAAAAAAAGGAATCTGTTTTTTATTGGCCAGTAAATGTTCTGGGATTGCAACCACAATAAAAGCTGCTAGAAAAAAGTAATAGAAGCAATGAACTTGAATCTCAGAGCTCATATTCCTGCAAAAGTGTATAAAAAGAATAGGATTGTGTTATAACTAAAATAGCTTCTCAGTGATTTCATGATAGAATCGAAGGCTCTATCATTTAGACTTGGGAACATCTAAACAGTTTCTTTTTAAATTATTTGGTTTCCGGTTAACATTTGCATAGGGACCATTATGCAATGCTTATACATGGGTATAGAAGATATTGCAAAGTTAATTAAAATAATTAAACTAAAATAGGACCTTGAAACAGAGCAATCTTTGTGAAAATTTTGCTTGCAGTGTTTCAAATATAAGGTCAAATGGACAACAGTGATGGCAATACAGTTACATGGCTGATCCTATGTCAGGGTGGTGTGAAACTCCCTCGGGAGATACAACTGATGATTTGATGCAGACTGAAGTCATACAATTGTTTTATCCTCTCTCGCTGCGAGTCGATGCACAGCTGTGGTAACTGAGTTTCAAGATCAGGCAAATCATCAACGGATGGACTATATGTCCAAGGTAATCTCACATACATTATTTGACTGTGGAAAGATCAGGAGGGCTTGATGACCAGGGAAGGACCTTTATATGATGCAGTTAGTCTACAAACATGTACCATGTATACGCCTACCAGGACAAACATGGAAAGTTATGCAATTGTGGTGTCTCCTCGTACCATGATGCCAGACATAATTCTGGTCCTCTCTCCTCAGTACCACCATACGTATGTGCATGCAACAAGACTTTGTCACTAAGCAAGCCACCTTCATTGCAGACAAGTGTGGACTAGRTCTGGTGTCAAGCTGCCACTGSTAGCTGACTGTTGGTATGGCAAATGGTCTGTCAACCAGATGTGGGCAAAGCCTGGCACTGTTTTTTTTTAAGATGGCATGCCACAACTGGTCCAGTTGTGGTTTGATATATGCTGGTCCATTCATGGCCAGCTGTTGGTGCACTGTAGGCATTTGTGCATTGCAAGGCCTGTCTCGGCCCAGTTGGCCTGGCCTTATTCTACCCCAGCCCTAGTTGTGTTCGCAATTGAGAAAAAAGCCGCCTCAATGTGGGCGGGATCCTAATATTAAACAAATGTGAAACTTAATTTGTTGAATTTGCGACACAACAATCACGGACTACACCAAACTTAAACAAAAAAGCAACAAAGGCTATATCGGGTCATCCAGCAGTATGACAAGCCGAGAGGGCAGGGTGACAGAAAACGATAAGCTAATGGTAGCTTTTTGTTAGCTTGTTGTTGTTTAGTAGCTCGCTACTGGTGTGGTTAAACTTGTGTGAGAAAAACTATACTCACTGCAAACAATTCATGTAAAGTTAATTTAATCTGTGTGAGGTAAGCCCTCTGGTCAAGTGAGCCAATCAATGAATAGCTGAAGTCAAATCGGGCAAAGTAGCCCAGTCCAGATAGAACCACAGGTCTCAGGGTTCCAGAAACCGGGATGGAACTGGGCCATAAGGGCTAATGCAAACTCTCTGAATATGGGCTGACCTAAGACCTGCAATGCAAAAATACCTTGTGTGAACATGTGGGGGAAAAAATGGGCTGATACCCATCAACATCAATTGCTGCTTCCTGATTACAGCACCACTACAAACAGTTGTCTCTACTGTATTGATAATGGTATGCATGGGATGATTAATTCATTATCATTTTGATGCAAAAAATCAAAACACAGTGCAGGTTGACACAGGGTGTTGTAAAGAGTGCAATGTCCCCTTGCACGCCTTCATGGGCTCAGTATACAGGGTGAGTCAAAAGGCACAAGACACCCTTTTATTTTGGTCTGAGATAGCAGCCATGTTCTGGACATGGTCTATAAGATAGGCCCCCTCACCCAAAACTAGCTAGGGTATTCAGATACGTCATTTTCCTTTTGCTTTCTAAAGGAAAATGGTGTCCTAGACCTGTTGACTCACCCTAGATGTGCAAGCACCATGCAAATTATGTATGTGCATATATGCATGTGCACAAAAATACATACAGACCAGACCATTGGCTAGTGTTAACCTTTGTCAGAGTGTTTTAATGAGAGTATTTTCAATCATTATCTGTGCCAGATTTCCATTTTAATATATCAATCCTAAATTTTTCCAAAAACATGGGTACATTCGGTCTGACTAACGTACAAATTGCATTCATTCCCATTGCAGTTTTCTTCATCAACACCAGTTTGTACTAAAATAAACTTATGCATGGTTGTTTAGCACAAGCTTTGCTTTTAAATCTTGCTCCGGTTTCTGAAATCACCACCAGAGCAAACAAACCACCAAAAGTTCTGTTTGAGATTTAGATATGTTGTGTCAGTAGTGGTTACCATAGCTGGAGGGGCTACAAATGGGAACTGACATCATCTCAAATAAAACTTTATTTATCAGATTTCATACAGCATCATTTTGTGATCCTAAAGCCTTTACCCAACCTTTTTTGTTATGACTGTAGAAATACTCTCCAATAAATACACTGACCCAATGCCCCCCTCTGCTCACAAAGAAAACTCTTTGTTGTCAAAGTATTTTGATGTCTGTCCAAGCAATTCCATTTGAGAAACATTCTGGTCATCAATCAAAGTTCAGATGAGTTGGGGCTTGGCTGCTCAGAAGTTACTCAGCCACGAGGGATTAAGGGAAGTTGGAAGAGTGAAAAGTAGGGTTGCGATTTGAAGAAGTACACAGAACCCCAGTGTACATGCATCTTGCTGTGTGTGTGTGTGTGCGTGAGATAGTGTTTGTGTGCGAGAAGTCAAGCAGAACCTCGCAAAGACTCTGAATATGAATGAGGAGGCTCGGTCCCAAATAAACCAAATGTTCCTGCTGCAACTGGAGACACAAACAGACATGTGTGCACACGCACACGTCTAAAAATGCACAAACAAACACTRTACTCGGGAGTATGCCAGAGTCAGACAAAACTTTAAATTGACTTTTATCACTGGTGGCCATGATGCCATTACTGTTTTCACTTGGCGGCACTAATGCATAACTGGGCGCCACATGTGCTTTGATGTGACAAATGCAGCCCTGAGACATACGCTGCCAAGTTCACTGCTTTTAACATGCTGGGCTTGTACTCGGTGGATTTCTGTGAGAAGAATCAGAAAAAGAAAACTGTTAAGCGCACCTTGTACTTTAAAGTGTGATCAGTTAAGTGTGGATGCACAAGATTTAAAGGCAATTTACACTATGTTCAAGGGTCAAGAAACACCGAAAAGAATTTTCTATCTAAATTTTATTATTTTACAATGTTTTAGAAAATACTCAGTAAATTGATAAACAGATATTTTAGTTAAGGCCCTGTGATGGACTTGCGACTTGTCCAGGGTGTACCCCGCCCCTCGCACTGTGACTGCTGGATATGGGCACCAGTGATCCACGCGACCCTGAAAAGGAAGAAGCGTGTACAGAAAATGGATGGATGGATGGATGGATGGATGGATGGATGGATGGATGGATGGATGGATGGATGGATGGATGGATGGATGGATGGATGGATGGATGGATGGATGGATGGATGGATGGATGGATTGAAATTTTAGTTCAAACAAAGCTTCAAAATGAGACCTTGACTTTGTTGTCGTCAATAACATTAGAACAGTAGTTATTTTTGATTGATGCTTGCTTTGTTTAGATGAAATGAGTCAGGGAGATTATTGAGTTTTTAGCAAAAAAAAAAACTTTAACACAGTAACAAAAACAAGCAGGTTTTAAAAAGGTGTGCTGTTGCTTTCTTTAGTGAACCAGCATGGCAGAAGTTAGGGCAATGAGTGTAAAACAGAATGAAATT